TCGGTTAAACTCAACATTTTCCCACGAAGAAGTGTATGACAGAGAACAATAAGCTCACCAGCACAGACTGCAGTGCCTACACAAGAGAGTACCCCAGAGAGAAAAGAGTTGAATGGGAAGGACCCAACAATAGCCATGTACCCAACCTGATAAAGTGAAAAAGGGTCAACAATCCCCATTAGGGATAAACCAAGCAAGTTGATGTCTCAATTTCAGATACAGAATAAATTCCGCACTCTTTAGGCATGAGCAGTAAAATAGCTGAAAGGCTCTCCATGCAGGCATGAAACAGCAGCGAAGCTCTATACACAGGGAAACTTCAAATAGATCTTACGTTGCTTACGAGCTATAGTCGAATCTGGGATAGCATGAATTTCTAGCTTTCTTCTTTTTATACAATGTTATGAGCAGCTCTGGTCTCAAGGACTCATTCTGACTAAAATAAGAGGCTTTACTAACTTCCAAAGGAAAACCGGCAAGCATTTTGCATAATCACATAGAACTTCGAACATGTCGCATAACCTCAATAAATGATGTGTAATATATATCTCACCTCCATTCCGAACACCTAACGCCAGGTATCAAGAGTGTTACTCCTTTCATTGCTGGTTTCACATTCTATCATTTGCAGGTCATTTTGACTAGTTAAGCGATCAAAAGATGTTTTGGACGGGTAAAAGAAGAACAACACACCGAGTACTATGGCATGTTTTGGACGGGTAAAAGAAGAACAACACACCGAGTACTATGGCAGAGTCCAAGCAAATGCTTCTGTTACACTGTCATCAAGAACCAATTTCAATAAGGGCAACCCATAATAGCTTAAAGAGCTAGCCTAAGAGAATGAGGTTTTGAGTGACCTGTAGAAGCATGAGATATATGATCTATGCAGTGAAAGATGTTCTCAAGGAATGAGTGGTGGAGGTGGTGCACCTGACCTAATATTAACCTGTTTGGTATCGGTGGAAGTAGAAGCGGAAGAAGATAAAAAGTGAAATAGGATGATATTCACCCTTTCGAGGTTCCCCGCAGAAGCTCTCACTTTCTCGCAATGCCTTGTGCCCATATGCCAAAGGCAGAAGATTCATATAAAGGTGCTTTAGTGAGTTTTTCTGGCTATTTCAATTGAATCATTCTACCAGAGACATCGCTCCATCCCTGATCCACCAGATGTAGCACCCTTGTAATGAGTTAAGGGCTTGTAATGAAGATAAGGGTATGGATGAGACCATTAACTCGAAAAATAGGTGCTTGCGGTGTAAGGTTGAGAAGGTTGTGCAAGAGTAGAAGGTGTTGGAGGTTGTTGTGCAGAAGGGTATGTCAAATAGACAAAAGATAACATTCAAAGTCTGGTAAAGCGCCTAAAACAATCACTGGAGATGTCATTTTTTCTCTACAACAGAAGGAAGATATCAACTCTCAAGTGTAAGCCCATGGGAGATGATCTCTTTGACATCACAGTTTGAGCTTGACCGATGCCCAAGTGCTTTTACAGTTCATATTAATTACCCCAGGCAATAGATGACTGCTCATCAAGTCCCAACCAGGAGAAGTTATCAAGTCTGATCAATGTAAGGTCATAAATTGTGAAGGAATACCAAGGCATCAAAGGCCTTTCATGAGGAGAAACTGTAAATTCACTTAAGCATAGATTTCTAGGGACATATTAACACTAGAGCAGTGCAATAACCTGAACAGTGCTGCTTCCAAGATCCAGTACAGGAATTTCAAGAAATAGGATAAGTGCAAGGAGACTTCTTTTTGTGATGTGAGCACAGAAAAGGAGATGCTTCTGAAGCAACAACAGACACCAGAGGAGTTATAAATGATGATATGCATGGTGGTGCGCTTTCCCTCATCAAAGAAGTAATAGTGTAGACTCTTCCCTTGGTTCGACAAAAGCTTTTCTAAGACAATGACATTAGAAAGAATGTTTCTTTCTACAGTAAAGACCGATTACTAACTAATGATTTGGCCATGTTATTTATGCAAACTTGTACTTTAAGCAAAAATTGATGTTTACAGTTGTGAGAATGCTCAAAATCTTTTGCAGAAAGTTTTCTGCTTACAATACAATTTAAACATTAACTCCAGAGTTAGACCAACCACAAGCAATCTCGAACTCCACAATCAAAGGTTCCATCCAACTGTTATGGCTTGTGGGTTCTATTGTACCGTCAGCACAATTTGAGGGTATGAGCTCTTCATTGGTATTTAAATGCTACATATAACACATTAGCAATATCTGAGATGACCAAGAGATCAAATGCCGATTAAACCTAAATCTACTTTCGTTTTTTGTTTTTCTTTTTTCAGTCTAGGGCCAAGCCTTAGGACAAAACAGCAGCCTTCAGACCTCTGGGATAATGAGCCCGCTCCTCTACCATAAACATAAATCTGCTTACGCTGCATAATGCCCGCCATGAACTCACTAAGCCCCAGCATCGAAATCCAAAACAAATGGTTCAATTAAGAATTGGATTTTGCTCAAAGCTTCAAACTAACCACATTTTAAAACAAAGAACCAAATAATTCCAATATTAGCCCCGTATCGTCTAAGTTTATCAATACAAATAACATAGCAACAATATAAACCAATACCTAGATCTATACAATAACATCGATAAATCTAACCGCAAGTACATATAAGATCCGAATATTCAAAACAAAATATATATATATTACCTGAATTACAGCGGTGAATATCGCAAACAGTACATATATATCAATGATCTGTTTCAAAACAAAAACAAAAAAATCAATTAAGGATTCAGTAGTATAATTATAATAATCTTTGATATAAAAGAATTATATAGCTGATCCCGACTAATTTGGCAACATTAGTGTTGAGATATATTGATTGATTGATATATAGATCTAAAATTGCTCTTATGAATATAAAATGACGAGGGGGGAGAGAGAGAGAGAGGTAACCTTGAGATTAGTGGGAGTTGAAGCGTAAGCAGAACGGAGAGAGTGGAGAAGTGCTTGAGCGTCTTTGGTCGCTGAAGATTTCGCCATTTTTCTCTCACTTGCGAGTTGCGACCTCTAACTGATGTGAGATGAAAGTCTTAAACCCCTAAACTAAGTATGGAACGGGTTAAAATGAAATATTGAGTCAAAATACCTTAAACTTGACACGAATTATTAGTTACAGCTTTAAACTATTCGTGACATTAATTACCCCTCAACTTGATCTTTTTAGAGTCCCTAGACACTGATGTGGCAAAGAGTGTGGGTACACTCGTCTGCAACGTGAATTTTTCTACATATGTGCCATTTTTTATAAAAAATAAAATATACTTTTACCCTTTTAAGTATATTACTCTTTTATATAATTTTTTTCTAATACAATTTATGATAAAACTTGGATAGAACTATATTCTTTAGGCTAAAATTTTTTATTTGGCTAAAAATAATAAAATTTTAGTTAATCTTTTTTTTGAATTTGACTTGATAATAAAGATTTATACAATGAAATAAATAGTCAAGACATCTAAAAAGTTATAAAAAATATAATTTGAAATTAATTATTTTGGCTATAATTTTTTATATAGCTCTAAATTATGGTACTCTAAAAATATACTTTTTACACATTTTACCTGAAAAAGTAAAAATACACAGTTGAAATAAATAGTCATTGCATCAAAAGAAGAAATAAAAAGAATATATCCATAGAGTAAGTTATTTATTGCACATAAAGTTAGAGTCTCTCTGGGTAGGGTCGGACTGCAACGGTCGAGGTCACTTGGTACCATTGATGTGCCCGATGGTAGATATGATGCTGACAACATCAACATTGAAGTTATATTCTCATAACCTTAGTGCATCCATGGGCCCGAGTGGCTTATCGAAACCGTTTTTGCTCATCAGTCCTCGGCTACTGAGGCCTCGATCGCTCATCTTCTCATTCCTCGTAGGGTGAGGCTCGGATCTGTTACCCCTTCGATCTCCAATATACGGTTGATACCGATCTCTGCTTGGTCTCGGTTCGTGATCGACGACTTCCCTAGACCTGTCATTGGCTCTGATAGGATAAATAGACCCAGACGAGGCCCCGAGCTAATAGTCATCGATCCTAATTTTTGACTGGTACCTGTTATAGATGTCGGCCCAAGTTACAGCCGAGTACTCTACCAAATTTTGTTTTAACTACTGTGAAGCCAAGGAGTTTCGGAGGTCAAGTCCTTAAGTGAATGCCTTAACGACCCAATCATCCGCAACTGAAGGCAAGTCCATCCGTTCCATTTGAAACCTTGATACGACCTAAGCATTTTGTTGTCTCTTTGCTTTACCTTGAAAAGATCTGATTTTCTGGTCTTGACCTTGATGGCCCCGGCGTGTGATTTCACAAAAGCATCTGCAAGTATAACAAACGAATCAATAGAATTTGGGGGTAAACTGTGATACCAATCATTTCTCCTTTTGACAGAGTTTCTCCGAACTTCTTTAGCAAGACCGACTCTATTTTGTCATCTTCCAAGGCATTCCCCTTGATGGCATACGTTTAGGAGGTCACGTGCTCATTTGGATCTGTGGTTCCGTTATATTTCGGAATATCAGGCATACGAACTTCTTCGAGATTGGCTTCGGTGTTGTGCTCGGAGGAAAAGGCTTTTGGACAAATTTCTTGGAGTCTAGGCCTTTCAATATCAGATGCGCTCCTGGGTTTGATTGACCCTAGAGTTATAGGTATCCACTTTTTTGTCGTTGGCCTCAATTTTCTTCTCCTTTGATTCCACCCACTTTGTCATTTCCTCGAGCATTTTTATTATTTCAGGGTTGGTTCCGGGCTCAGATTCATCCACCCTCCAGCCTGTAACATTTCGAAGATTAACTGTAGGATTATCCCATCTGCCTTCATGAGTTTCTCGAATCGTTGCTCGTGGGATTCTGTGAATGTTGTTTTCGGGGTCAGTTGGCAGGGGGCATAGATAGCAACCTGTGAATTGGTGTTGATTGGATTGGCAACGGGACTCCATTGGGATCAATATGGGTACCTCATTGCTAGGTACCATATTATTGTTTTCGCCATGATGGCCAGACTCAACATCAACGTCCAAGAAAGGAAACTGACAGTTTGACATTTTTCAAGCTAACCTGAAATTGGAAACTTAAAGAATAAGCGTAAAATAGAGTGTGTGTTATGAAAAATTGTATCAAATTACTACTATTATTGTCACGACCCAAAATCTAACCATGTCGTGATGACGCCTATCATGTTACAAGGCAAGCCTATTTTCCAAAATATTACTACTAAATCGATTATATGAATTTAATAAAACATTTTCAACATTTGAATTTCTCATAAACTAAATCAACTCTAAATATAATTAATATAAAATAGGAAAACGAGTCCTAAACATCGGGGTGTCACTAAGTGATGAGCATCTAAAACTATAAAATAAGATATATAAACTGTCTAACTGTCCAAAAGAAGAAATGATAAAAGGAGTAACAAGGTCCTGCAGATGCTGGCCCCTACCTTGCAATCTCCACAGATAGCCAGCCTGAAATCAACAATCGTCGCGCTCTAACACACTTGGATCTGCACATAAGGTGCAGGGTGTAGTATGAGTACAACCAATTCAGTAGTAACAGAAATAACTAAGGAACTGAGCAGTAGTGACGAGCTAAGTAAAATAGTCTAATTATTTATTTTCACAATTTACAATAAACATGAATAAACAGGTAAATTCCATAAAACCAACAAATGCCACAAAGAAATTAATAGGTAAATGCAACAACATCAAAAGTAAATGCAACCTCACAACAATGTCACTCCATCACTCATCACTCGCACTCAACACTCAACTGTCACGCCCCAACCTCGGGAGGCACGACCGGCGCTCAATCGAGTGAACCCAACTGAGCAAGCCTTATCAACACTTCCTACCCAACTCAATATGAATAAGGACACCATGCTTTCATCTATTTAGATAAGGAAAGATAGTACGTTCACATTGTTAGTTCATTTTATATCACAACATTAAACCGTAGTTAAGTTTCCAAGATTCCATACAGTTTCACTTTAGAGAAGCGAGAGTTAGAATTACAACATAGTTCGTAGACCCATCCAACACCCGTACATAACCCACACATATGTCTACGGAGCCTCTAAGGATACAAAAGAGAAGTATGACAATGCCGGCAACAAGGCTCTGGCAATACCTCAAAAGTGGAAGTCCACAACAAAAGGTGTACAATATAACCCCTTGAAGGAGAAAGGGGCTCACCAAGACTTTGAGAAGAAGGTACTCCACTACGCGCGATCGACACTATCCGTAATAGAGCCACCTACATTCATTTAAAAAAATGTAGCGCCCCTGGCAAAAGGGACTTTAATACCATGGAATAGTACTAGTATGTATAACTAAACACCATCTAGTTAGAGAGAACTTTCATACCAAACATAAGAAAATCACAAATATAACTCAAAAGTTTCAAACGATCACAACATTATCAAGGTAAAATAATCATACAATTTTCACATTTTATTTCCATAGCCTTTAGTTTGGGGCACTTCATATTGTTCATCATTGTTCACAATACCACCGCTAGCTTGAGCGGAGTCCGATCTCGACCCGATCGGCTAGGTTGCCTCACTAGAGACATACACTTCGATCACAATCTCATTTTCCCTTTTTATCAGGGATTCAATATCAACACAATACCACCATGTGTGCGGCATGGCGTCCGATCTCGGCCCGATCGGCTAGGCTGCCTTCCCAAGGCGTTTTCCTTTTCCATCAATCATCTCAATTCAATCTTTGTTTCACATATGTCATTTCATAGGCACTTGGGGCCACAGCTATCACGTCATATATTTGGCACTAGGCCATATTTCACATCATTCCCAATTTCAATATTAGATTTGTAATTTAGGATAATATGTGCATACAAGAGCAATTTAAATTGTGAGCATAGATAAGACTTCACATAGATGGCACATTATATGCACCTTCAATCTCAATTTAAGGTCTAAGCATTTTAATACAAAATTCATATCTTTTGCCCCTTTCAAGTTATCAAGATAGCACGTTGATCATGTTGAGACACATCTTTCACGCATATAAGGTTACAACACCAATTCATGTAAAATAAGAATCGATACAACCATTCAACTTTAATCTTACCATATTCACACAAACATTGATGAAGCTCGATTTCTAAAAGACGGGGGTTTTAGCCATACATACCTGAAATTTGCCCCTTAATGATATTACAATGATCCAATACACTTAAGCAACTTCAATTTACAGTACAACATTCAATAGGGCCAATATTAGTAATAAATTTCATAACTTACGCCATTTAGGCATGTTATCAAACACCTTGTAGGTATAAATCTTTACACCTCATAACTATAGTATTAGTTCATCCAACTATCACCATTAACCAACAATTTATTCCACCGTCATTCTTAAACAATTTATAACTTCCAACAACATATGTATGACCATCCATTCACCCCCAACCAACAAATCTTATCAAATAATCACCTTTCAATCTCTACAATAATTATGTATTTATATTAGGAACTTATGGCTTCCAATCACCACACCAAAAGTTTCAATACTTAATTCATACTTATATTCCCATAATATAATCATATATGTAAGTCTAAGGGTGTAGGATTTACCTTTTGGAAGAAATCTTGCAAACCCTCCTTTGAGTTCTTGAAGGAATTTCTTGAAGATCTATGTGTTTTATGAGTAGATTTCATCAATACTAATGTAGGAATGATGGAATTTCACCCAAGTTAATGGAGGTTGCTTACCTTGAAGATTGGGGGAGTTGAAGGTCTTGAGAGGGTGAAGGGAAACCCCAAAGTTCTGCCAAGATGAATGGGTAAAAATGAACCCCGAAATGAGTATATAATGTTTCGGGCGCCACAGGGGCCGCTGGGCGCTGCCTGTGGTGCTGATTCCAGTATCTCAAAAATTCCCGGCGCCACGGCTAGCGCCCGGCGCTACCCAGGATGCTGTAGATGGAAGGGACATGAAAACGGTCATAACTTTCTGTATACACCTCCAAATGATGAACGGTTTGATGCGTCGGAAACTAGACGCAAAGAGATTT